AAGACCCACAAAAGAGCCCAACCCAGAAAAGAAAAGAAAAGAAATAGTAAAATCAAAAAGGTCCTACAGTCTTTTGACCACCAGGTGGCAGTCATCTGGTGTCACTGTATCTACATGCACACCCTTAAAAATAGCTGTCCTTCATATCAATTCTTTTAAGTTAGGCACACTGTTTGGCACTATATGTGCTGAATTTAATTGCCATTAAAAATAACTCTCTTCATTTAAATTAAAACAAAAAAAACCTTGTATATAGCATCTATCAATAATTTAAATTCAAAAGAGGAAAAAAAAAAGTGTTAGAAACGAAATAGAATAACCAGAACTCTCACAGACTGGGGGTGAGAGTGTAAATGAAACAATAATTTTGGAAAACTGTTCAGCAGCTTTAGCTGATCTGATCATATGCATATTCCTAGCAATTCCACTCCTAGATATATGCCCAACAGAAATGCATATATATATATTAGGAGAGTGTTTATAGCAGCACTATTAGTATTAGCTCAAAGCTAGAAACTAACCAAATGCTCGGCAACAGAAAAATGGATAAATTCTGTTGTATTTACACAATGGAATACTATAGAGTAAACAAGCCACGGAGACATCCCATAATAGGAATGAGTCTTACAATGTAAAGTTAAGACATTTAAGTCAGACACAAAAGAATGCATACTATATGATTTCATTTATATAAAGCTCAAAAACAGGTAAAATTAATCTATGGCTTTAAAAGTCAGGAGAGTAACAGTGACTGAAGAGGACATGAGGGGGCTTCTGAGGCACTGAAAATATCCTATTTCTTGATCTGAATGCTGGTTGTACGCGTGTATTAAATTTGAGAAAATTCCTCAAGCTCTATACTTAGAATATGCATAATCTTCTGTATATATGTCAAACTTCAATAAAAAGTGTTGAGTTTTAGTGTAGGCAGAAAGGCACAGAAACAGCAATGAGGCATGAATTTAGTATTAGAGAAGCAAATATTTGTCAATGGAGAAATGACTTCATCCAACTTCTTTATAAGACTTAAGGAAATTCCCACAAACTGAAGAAATTGACATATTTTATTGCTGAGGTATGTAGAAAAAGACTTCCTATCACAGGTCAAGCAATGCACCTGAAGGAAGGAAAGACTGCTAAATACCTTGGAAGGAATAAAAGAAATTTCAAAGTAACACGAGGTTAATAAAATTGAATCACAATTCACATAGCACTATGAGGGGTCTTCATAAAGTTCGTGGAAAGATTCATGTTACCTTTTTAAATTCCTTTTTCCCACAAACTTTTTGAAGTACCCTCATACTACCCAGGCCCTACATTTCAGTTTAATTAGATGTGTTTATTTATTTTTGTGTGTGATCATAAAATAATGGTGAGTCTTACAACTGACAATGTAGATTTGGATACATATATATATATATATATATATATATATATACATATATATATGTATGATATATCATATATACATATATATATTATAATGGTGAGTCTTACAACTGACAATGTAGATTTGGATACATATATATATATATATATATACATATATATATGTATGATATATCATATATACATATATATATTTATATATATTTATATATATATGTATATATGATATATCATACATATTTTCTGATCTGTCTGCCAAGTCCAAACAAAGCACAATACAATGACTATGGAGGTTATAAGATGAAGCACACAAGGTCTCTGCTTTCATGAAGTTTATCATATATAAAGAGGTAAGACAACCATACAAACAGCTATTATACTGATTTAGATTGGTACCAGTGTATAAGAAAAGTACAAAATATTTTTTTAAAAAAGAAAAAGGGGAAATTTCTTCCTATTAATGATTATAAGAAAGCTTTTCAGAAGCATCTAGAACTGTGCTGTCCAATACAATATCCACTAGCCACACATAGCCATTTAAATTTAAATTAAATAAAATTTAAAATTCAGTTCTGCAGAAGAACTCAACCACATTTCAAGTGCTCTATGGCCACATGCGGCTAGTGGCAACTGTATTGCACAGTGCATAGAACATTACCATCACTGCAGAAAGTTTTATGGGATGGCACTAATCTGGAGTATTCAGGAGTTAGCAAGGGACACAGAATAGGTACATAAGGACAGTCTAACCTTTGAGAAAAAATACTCTTTTTAATCTTGAGTCCATTTTTCCAAGGCACCTTTAACATCTGAGTGACAAAATCAAGCCACTCTGATCTGAGGACCAAGCTCAGAATATAAACCTAGAAAAGCATTCTACATCTTAAAGTTATATGAGTAAAAAAAGAATACTCACAAGCTCATCAGAGTCCAATTTAGTTCACCAGTTTAGTAAAAATTTGCCCAAAACTTTAGCGAGAAATAAAGTATTTGAATCTTCGCCTAATCCCTTGGTAGCTAACTGAGGATCTGAGGTTTCAGGTTATAACTTAGAAGTCAGTTAATAAAAATATAAATATATTTATGGAAGAACTGATTTATGCAGCATCGTCTATGTGCCAAGCACAATGGTAACCAGGAGTGGGTAAAAAACCATTTAAACCACTAACTGTATTCGCAAATATCACAATAACTTAAGAATTGAAAAATCATAAGCAGGTAAGGAACCAAAACGTTCTGCCTGTCTGTGGGCCTGGCAGTGGTTCTTTAGAGACAGCAAGATAGGAGGTAACAATGTGCCATCTCAGGTATATTGTCTGCAGGTTGTTGACTCCTGTGGTGCCCAATGCCCATTAATCTGAACCAATCACAATGATTTGGCAAAAAGCTAAGAAAGAAGAGTTCTCTCAAAAAGAAAACAATAAATGAATTCAAGTTACAGAACCCATATTAAAATATAAAAGAAACAAAAAAGAATTGTTGCCACAAATATCATAATCCAAATACCCTTAAAAGGAACATTAACAAATCAAGATTTATCAAACAACTATCCAATAGAAGTACACTGGTAACTATAGAGCCATAAGGACAGATAAGTCTCTGAACTCCAGGAGCTTTGATCTACTTTGGAAAACAGAATGTTCATGAACAATTACAAAGCAAGCAAATGTTGTAAGTGGTATTCTCAGAAAACAATTACAGGATAAACTGTGAAAGAAAGAAACATAGAAATCTTTTAGTCCAATCCTCTCCCTTGTCTTGAATCCATTCTACAACGTCCTTCGGAGACAATATTCAGTCTAAGTGCACTAGGGATGAAGATGTCACAACCTCACAGCCAGTTCCAAAGAAATTAAAGATAGGAGCCAAAAGGAGTTCAAGATAGGAGTTAACATTCAGAGAAATGATGTTTAGAAATATGGATAGGGACGTCAAGTGAATATCAAGTAAATACAATACTAATAATGTAGAGCAATACACTAAAGTACCACTATGGCATGGGGTCCTTTATGACACAAAGCCAAAGAAAAAAGCAACGGGATGTTGTAAAACCACCCCCAGCTAGAGAAACATTTGACTACAGAAAAGGGGGTAGAATAAATCAAGGCAAAACTCTACTCTATCTGCCCCCCTAATAACCCCTAGCTCTCAACTGTCTACAGACTATTTCTGTTTCCACCTAAGCAAAGTAAGGAGAAAAAACTAACATTTACTCAATAGCTACTATATGTCAGGCATGGTGCTATGCATTTATCATGTATCATTTAATTATGTAGCATCAGAGCTTTACTGGTGATTGGAGCTGCCCAGAGATGGGCTCAAGGAACCTGTCCTAGGATCCAAATCTATTAAGATATTTTTAGAGACATTTAGAAAACAGCTTGATGAGGAGGAAAGAGTAGTAGAGACTTGAAGACAGATCTAGACTAGGGTTCTGGTCCTGCAGTTGTATGACTCTGCAGAAGTCACTGGCCTTCCCTGGGTATCAGTTTCTTAAGATCTGTCCTACCTACCTTACAGGTTGCTCTAAGGATCAAAATGGAATAATATATGTAAAGGGATTCTGTAAATATAATACATCCCTGATATCCATTTATCCATTTATTAAGTACCTACTAAACATCTATGCTATTCTAGACTCCAAGGTTACAGTGGTGAATGAGGTCCTTGCTCTCATGGAACTTATGTTCTAGTAGGTGGAAGACAGTATTAAAACACAAATAAGTCAGCAAGAGTCTCCAATAGTGATAAATGCTCTGAAGAAAATAAAACAGGATGATGTGGAAAAGAGTAACTAGGGGGGAGGGAACTATTTTAGACGGAATGGTCATAGAAGGTCTTGCTGAAGTGACATAGCTGAGATCTCTGAGACCTCTTCAGCCAAGTGGAAGAGCTGAGGAAACAGGAATTCTAGGCATAAAGAACAAGACGAGCTTGGCATGTCTGAAGCACTGAAAGAATGAGGTCATGCCTGAAACACAATGAATAAGGAGGAGTGTTAGAAGACAAGGTTGAAAAAGTGGACAGGGATCAAATCCAATAAGGTCTTGGCCCATTAAAATAGCATTTTCATTACCTCTCTCCTTTTTGACAACACGGCCTAATAAATTGAGCCACTTATGCAAATATCCAGTATTCACATAATCAAAAGTAGGATACTTCCAACTTTCTAACTGAGCAATGCCATCGCCAAGAAACAAGTGGAAGTACCCAACACAAAGGGCTTAGATGTAAAATTCTTAAGAACTATACCTAAATAAAAACATCATTTATTATGATGTTTGGCAAGTCAAATAGCCAAAATCCTCTTTCTAGTAAATGAACATGAAAGAATTATAGAATTTGAATTTTTAACAGATTTAAAGTCTGTAATGAAAAAAAATCAGTTCATCTAGTAAATATTCATTAAGCACCTACTATGTGCCAGGCATGTTCCAAGCACTAGAGATACAGCAATGAACAAATCAATGATGATTTAACAATAATTGAGCAAAAGATTTGTCAAAATAGCATAATACCAGAACTGAACCTCAACTTATTTTATATCTCTGCATTTTCTGAAACAGGAGTTACAGGCTTAGTCATATGTACCTGTCAGAAAGCAAACTTACCAAGGAATTCTTAATCACTTCACTTCTATAAAATTCTGGAAAAGAAGAAAAAGAACAATAAGTGATATGAAAGAAAATAAGCTCATTAACTGAATCCTGTAAAATTTTAAACTTATGTTCCAGTAAAACATTTAAAACATTTTTAAGGGATCTATTTTCTCTGTATCTTCATCTATTAAATAAATAAAAATAGAAATAAAGATTAAATAAAAATGCTTTAAAGAGAAAAAACATCTGCAAAGAAGGTTAAAAACCTTTCAGATTTAGTGACTTATCTTACTGGCACCTTTTACCCCAGATTCTAATTTGAACCCTTAAAAACAAACCTTCTTCCTTCCCCACTTCCACTCTCTACAACTGATTTCATCTGCTCCATTTTTCTCAGACAACATCTAATGATTATCCACTGTAGTACTGTGGAAGAAATACTGATGTAGCAACCAGGTAACTTAAGTTCTAACTCCACCTCTGTCACTAACATTCTGTCTCTTTAATTCCCTTGGGCCCATTTCTTCATTAGACAGCCTAGAAAGTTAGACTAATAATCAAAGGTCCTCTGTAAGCACTAAAATTTCATAATTCTACAAACCTTCATATATGTTGGTAAATGTTACAAAACCCAAAGACACAGTCAAAATATGCCAGAATTTCAGACAGATATTCTCAACAACGCTCCAGCATTCCCTCTGCTAACCCAAGTCACCTCTATGCTGCTCTGCCACTGCAGAGCCTACAAGTACTTTTATATCCTTATGTGGTTATAGGGCAATATTTCCCAAGTGTGATGCACATACCACTGGTACTTGAGATGATTTTAGGTGACACATGGATAAACTTTATTTTTTTTTCCTACTATACTGAAATCTACGTCTGAAACATCCAAGGGTTCAAATCCCCTGTGGGGGCTGGCCCATAACTCACTCGGGAGAGTGCAGTGCTGATAACACCAAGGCCACGGGTTCGGATCCCATATAGGGATGGCCAGTTGGCTCACTGGGTGAGCGTGGTGCTGACAACACCAAGTCAAGGGTTAAGATCCCCTTACCAGTCATCTTTAAAAAAAAAGGTCAAATCCCCTGTAAGCTCCATGTGTTTGTTCTGTTCAACTGCTATCTCTTCAGCACCTAAAACCACTCCTGGCACAGGGTAAACACTCAATTTTTTTTTTATTGAACAAACAATATCACAGATTACGCTTAGACATGAGTTTAAAAATAATGACCTTAAAGAAAAATATTAAGTACGTAACAGTACAGAGGGAATTCAAGTATGTTGTCAAAGTTGTGTCAAAGTCATTCACTAATGACTAAAGCTTGGGAATTTTCAAGCAGTAAAAGAAAAGTGGACCTAGACACGAAACTTTTACAGGCAATCCTTTTTGATTAAAGTACTTCTTGACAAACATATCTACATTTATCCTTGTCTTCCAAAAAAGATAATTATTCTATTTTGTGAGAGATTATCACACATATTATGTGAAAAAAACAGGTTCTAAGAAAAGACTTACAACAGGATCCCAATTTTTATAATTATGCTAACGATATTTATCTTAGGTGACAGGATTAAGCAGATTACTTTTATTTTTATTTGCTTGGCAGTCTTCTAATTTGTCTATTATGAACAATTATTTTTAGATAAGAAAACAGATCATTCTGGGGCTGGCCCGGTGGCGCACTGCTACAGTGCGCCGTTTGGGAGTGCGGCAGCGCTCCCGCCGAGGGTTCAGATCCCACATACAGACCGGTTCCCACTCACTGGCTGAGCGAGGTGCGGGCGCAGCACCGAGGGTTGCGATCC